CAGTTGAATAATAGAGATATTTTAAATCAATTGTAATTTAATATTTACAGTGAACAAAAGAAATTTTACTTTGTTCAACTGCAAATTTATGTGTCACTAATTTACTGTACCTAAGATTACTTTACCAGAAGCAAAAAAGAAGAACGTTACAGAAATCTTAATGCAACTAAAAATTTATGCTTTTTCTTCATATAATACAGATTTTATAAATTTACCAATAAAAAACGTTAAAATTTGTTTTTTTTTTTTTTTGTTTCTTCAACCTTTATCTGATTTAGTCAACAGGTAAACAGTTTCTTAGATTATAAAATTGACCTTTTCAGCCATTGATAATATGCAGAAACGATTTCTACTGATTTAACAGCAAGAAATTTTCTTACTTGATTCTTCAGGTTTACTGCCTTTCTTTTTAAAACTGAAGATTTATGCTTTTTCTTTATATAATATAAAAAACCCGGATACATTGTATTTCACAAGATTTTTGGTTATACAAAAGAAACAAATAAACAAAGTTAATTGTTTTTTTTTCTCCCCCAACTTTTTTTTAAATCTCTTTTTTCTCTTAGAAATACTTTTTCTCCTAGTTTTTTTACTTAAGACTTTATTTTTTTTCTGCAAGAGAAGACAAAAACTTTTGATTGAGTCAATAAACAGATATTGAGAGTGAGACTAAGACGAGCTTTAAGCGAACAAGTAACATACATACGTACATTACATATACACATATCTATATACACACATATGTAAGCACACACACACACAGATAGTAGACGTAATACAGTAAAAATACTTGTTGTTTGTCCAGTTAGCCAGACCCAGAAAACCAGATGCTGCCAAGATTCTATAAAAGCATCCGAAGCAAACACCCCCTGTACAAGGAACATCCGAATAACGCCTCAGCAACACCACTCCAGTAGCTCCCCAAAGCGATGCGCACCGGCTCCTGTACTCTTATCATTGCTGCAATTCTTCAGTTATTGCTGCTGACCAACGCAGAAGAGACAAAGGTTTTATGTCTAAACTTTTTTCTTTTTTAACTTCTTCATTTAAATAACCAAACAATGACAAAAAAAAAACAGATAACTTACGAAGAAAGCAAAGTTGTTTCGATAACAGAAAGTCCAATTTTTAATACATACCAAAGTTTTGAGATAGTAAAACAAAAAAAAAAAAGAAACAGATTATTTTATTTTTAAAATTTTTTCACTGTTTTTCTAAACACAAAATTTCTTTTGCAACTCTTAACATGGTATCTATTGAAAAAGTTATAAACCTTTTTTTATTTTTTTTTTTTTTGCTTTTGACACCTCACTTTGATACAGAGCAAAATGACCTGTTCTTTTAAACGCCAAGTAGATCAGGATGGCTGTGCAAGAACAATTGTTTTAGGACTTATTTAAGCTCTTCTCTTTCAACAATGAGCAATTATAAATAAGGCTTTTTTTTCTGCTTTAAAAACGATGTTTTCAAAAGAAAATGGCACAAAATTTATCCACTCTTTCACTTTTGCTCAATTTGGTTTCTTTTAAAACTCAAAAAAAGTTCAAAACAAATCTTATGATTTTCCAAATAAAAACTGCATAACCAAACAGCAGTTTTTCAGCTGTTTAATTTGCTCCAGTATATTTTAAGCACTAAATACCAATGTAGATACTGTTTTTCAAATTTTATAACAATATAACGCACTTCAACAATTTATGGCTGAAAATACACATATTTAAAAGCGTGAAGGTCCTAAATGAAAAACTGATACAAAACTGTAGTTTAGAAGAATGAAACTCGGCAACTGTCGTTAAGAGCAAAACGACAATTCTGCTGCCCAGCGACATGTGTTTGTGTCCGACCATGCGTTTGCTCCAACCAACAATCGGTTGTTCAACCACAGCCAACTGTTCAATATCAGCCGACCTATCAGCCAACCTATCAGCCAACCTATCAACCGACAATGCAGTACCAACCAACTTATCAACCTCCAGTGCAATATCAGCCACAACAAGAGTTCCCGGTTCAACAGCCGGCTCAGCAACGAACAGCTTCTGCTACAGTAGTTTGTCTACAAATCTGTATGCCAACATGCAGTCCACAATGTATTCAAGAGCAACAAGTGCTGCAACAACCCGTTTACCAAACCACGCAAGCTCCAATCTATTATCAGCCAACGCAGTACCAAACAACACCACAACCGATTTATCAATCTACTGCACAGCCGATGATTTACCAAACTCCCCAATATCAGCCAATTGCACAGGAATCGTCAGGCTCTGCTACATGTATTGCAATTTGTATGCCATCGTGTGAAGCCTCATGCATCAATCAGTATCAACAACCACAAGCTCAAGTTTCACCAGCCCCGGTTCTCCAGCAACCTATCTATCAAGAACCCGTCGCTGTAGTTCAACCAGCCATTTCACAAACCCCTGTTCCAGTGGTACAGCAGCAACCTATCTATCAGGAGCCTATTCCGGTAGTTCAACAACCTGTCTCACAAGCGCCTATTCCAGTCGTTCAGCAGCAACCTGTATATCAGACGCAACAAACAAGTGGTTCTTCTGGCGCATTTGCAGTATGCATTGCAATTTGTATGCCGTCTTGTGACTCACAATGCATCCAGCAACAGCAAGCTCAATATTCTCCCCAATATCTACCTCCAGTAGCAACAACTCAATTTATTCCAACCACAACAGTGCCTACAACTGTCGCTGCAGCTCAGGGTTCTATTCAGGTACAAAAAAACGATTTATTATAAGTCTTCATCCGTAAAAATAAAAATCAACTTCTAGTCCTAAAAATTTACAACTTTCTTTATTAACTACTGATTCTTTTGTTGCGACTTCTCAACGTGAGCTTAAAAACAAAATTCTACCTTTTCTCAAACCGAGAGCAGACCTAATGATTTTGTAAAGTAGTACTGAATTCTTAAAATTACACAGACTCTCGTAAAATCTTTATACTTAATCTAAGAACCATTGTTATGCTGCATAAAGCCTCTATATTAGCTTGCTGAAATTGTAAAATTTACAACTAGCATTGTAAACAAGCTTGTGTAGCATACATTTTAGGCAGTATGTATTGGAATTTGTATGCCAACGTGCAGTCAACAGTGCATCCAACAACAAGTATCATCACAGGGATCGCAATATCAACCGGTATACACTTCAACTCCAGTATATCAACCAGTGTACACCCAGCCCCTTATTACGCAAACTGTAGCTCCGATTCTGCAACAACAACCCGTACAACAGTCCCAATCAACTAGCTGCATCTCAATTTGCATGCCATCCTGTTCAGCACCATGCATCCAGCAGTATCGCCAGTACAACGATAGGATGCGCTCGATCCAGGATCCCGTCAGAATTAGCATTCCACAGGCAATGCAACGATCGCCGAACTGCTTGAGTGCTTGCCAAGAAACTTGTGTTTCGCAGTGTACCGCACAGGATCAACCAATCACCCAGTGCACACCTTCCTGTGCTTTTTCATGCGGCCAAACTTGCAGACTACGAAAACGAAATCTGAGGACAAAGCGTGCTTAAGATGCCTCCTTTTTATGTGTCTCATTTCTGTGTATAATGTGTAAAAAAAGAATTTTTTTTTGTTTATAAACGTCTTCCATCTGATTTCAAACTTTTTTCTGGGCGTTTATCTGCTGTTTTCCTTTGTTTGGTGATTAGGTTATGGCGGAATAAAGGGACATAAAATGACATTAGTTTTAAGCAGTAGTTAAGTTAACCATTTAAGATACTTTGGAAAGAAGAAATAGAATGTGGCAGTTAAGAGCAATAGAATTTTACTGAAATAAATCGGAACAAAATTTTAATAGCAACAGAATTCAAAAGAAAAACGAGTAATAAACTTACTGGAAGTAGCTAGTCAAAACGAGGACTAATAAAAAAGCAAGAGAGGTTTGATAATTACGATTTTTTGCAAATTTTGAACACGAAATTGCTGTTACAATGTTATATAATTTGTTTGCAAGAAAACACTTCATTCAACTTGATTTTTCGGAAATTAGTAGTCTAACTAGCAAAATTTCTCACTACACGACTTCGAAAGTCGTGCTTGAGAAAATTAGTAAGTAAACAATGTTGGTTTACCAAAAGACAAAACATTTTTTTGAACATATTGCTCTGTTTACAAACTCAAAAACAACACTAAAAAATAAAAATAAAAAACAGAGAAGATAAAAAACAGGAAAGAGAACAGTCCATTACAACAGCGTTCACTATGAATAGTCACTATTGTCTCTTCGTAGAGTTATGGTAGTCCATTGTTTGAACAAGTAACCGGTCACTGCTGTATCGCCGCCTTGTCTAACAACAAAAAAGTGTCAATAGTACGAAGAAGAAACTGCACTTCCAGGATTGAACAGCAAATCTTCATGTTTTGATGCATTTTAACAGACTAATCTGAGCGGTACTCTATGAAAAAAATAAGACTTGTGAATGAAATTGACCAAAAAAGTATTTGAAGTGATGCATTTACACCTGATGCTCAGCAATACCAAACCTTGTTGCTTGAGCTTTCTAATACCGCACTCAAATTATTCTGTTGTATTGCTTTTTAAATTTCAATCCGGTACTTCATTTCTTGCTTTTTTGGTTTAACGCCTCCTTGTTATAGAAAATAATCACTCTTATCCTTCTTCAAGTTGCCTTTCCTTCTTTCCACCTATCAACCTTTAATTCTACATTTGCTTTCAACTTGATTGAGCAGCAGACGAGAAAAAAGCCCAGAAAGATTTTTTAGTACTTAAATTTAGACCGAAAAAGCAGAAAAATTTTAGAAATTGAAGTTCGTGCACTTATTAAAACATTATTACAGTTTACTATAATTTTTGGAAACTAGTCTGAAATCTCACATTTTCCAACCATCGACCAAAAGTTTTACTACCTCCTAAAAATCCTTATGGCTTTTTAGCGCTTTAAAAGTTTTCATCGCTGTCTTGGCATTTCTTTTCGTTTTCCCTCATTATGAGGATCATTTAGTCACACTTTTAGCAGAAGACGGTTTTAAGCAGAAGAAATTTGTCAGTTTTTCTGAGAGACTTTATCTTAACCGGTCATTTATTATTAAAACATGAGAAAGAGAGTGGAAGATTTGTAGTTACCTTTTTGAAACTTGATAATTTTGAAACTCGCAGAAGTAATTTTGATAATTTTTATTTACCTTCTTTTTTTGCAGCTGTACAAAAGAGTTTAAATTGAGCATTTGTAATACTCTGACTGCTGTTACAAATAAAAAAAAAACAGAAAATTCTAAACATTTTATATTTAGACAAAGTTTAACGTTTGTTAAATATAAAAAAGTTTTTTTACAGAAAAAATTTTTTGTACAAATGTTATTAAACGACTAATAATGTATTCATTTTAAAAATATAATTTTTTTTTCTATTTTAGGTTTAGCAAAAAATACAGAAAATCTGTTTACTTTGTTACTTTTTAGCCTTATTTTATTAGCCAAGTACAACCAAGTGCGAACAACTAAATTTACCTGATAATATGAATAAACGATGTGAAGCTTGGATTTCAAAATTGACAGTAAAAAAGTTAATAAAGAAGAGTTCTTATTTAAAAAAAAAAACACTCGGTTTTCAAAAGCTTTTTCGCAATTTTTGTCTCTCAAATAACAATTCAGAAAACAAATTTCACTATGAAATTAAAAAAAAACATTGCTTTTAATGTTTGCTTTTTTAACCTTCAAAAGGTTATTAATGCATCATTTATGCACTTTTCTATTTTGATTAGGAGCTGACTATTTATGGTCAACATGTGTGACTAAACACTTTTTCTTCAATATGTGAAGAAGAATGCATACCATAAGAATGCATAAGAGCAAAAGACTAAATAGTTGCAGAGGATTGGAGAGGATTGATGGAAAACATCTAAAGTTGTTCAAAGCAGAAAAAAACAAAATAAAGACAAAATGCCAAAATTTTCTGAAAAGATAAATTTTTTAGTCGACTTTTTTCTCAATTCAGTTATGTTTAATTTCAAAAAAAAAAGAAAAAGCGATTTTTTTTAATTTCTGTTCTTTTTTTTTTTTTTTTTTGAGAGAGAGGTATGGAGAAAGCTTTTGTACTGAAAATGTAAGACTGGTCAGTACCACTTTATTCAAACTAATGATGAAAAAAATTGTCATGTAAAGTTCAAGCAGTGTACAGTTTGTTTGTAGTAAATAAAAGCTAACAAAGCAGTTGAATTAACTCAGACTCATCTGGTCAACAAAACTGTTATTAGATTAAGTAAAAAAAAAAAACGATTACTGGTTTTCTGTTGACTTTTTATGCACTTTGATACAGTTAAGTCTCTTAGTTGTTATTACTTAGATAGAAATCACCCATGTAGAAACCAATAGCAGATCTTCTGAAAAAGAAAAAAGACAAATCTAATTTGTATACGTTAAAACTTTGAATTAAAATGAGTAAAAAACGTTGTCGTTACTGATAACTTCCAGCGACTGCTTAAGCATTTAGATTTTTTAAACCTTCCTCTAACAACCGTAAAAAATACAAATTTCAAACGCTTCTTTACCGGAGAGAAAAAAAATTTACAAAACCGGCAAGAATAACATACAAATTTACTGCATGTTATACATTAGCTTGCTTTTTGATAACGTAAACTTAGGGCTAAATTTTAGAACCTCTTAACATTACTTCATCTGAAGATGTCTTTTATAAATCTTGATCAAATAAGGCACTTAAAAGTCATATTATTTTTCTGCTGTCATCTAGTTGAAGTACTCGATAATATTCCTATTCTGCTTCTTTGGTTTAATTGAAAGTTGCAAAAACATTCTCGAAATCCACTTGTAACATACCTCATTAAAAATGCTTTCTGAGTAAGAATAAAATCATATCCGAAAGTTTTTCGGGCTTATTGCACTTATTAAATTTCAAAAAAATTGGCTTTTTGTTTGCTATCTGCTTCCACTAGCTTCCTAATATCATTTTCATAAAAAATTATTACACTTCATAAATTTGGTAAATTTTATATATTTTGATGAAAGTCTTATGTTCTTTTATGTAAAATAAATTTGATAAAGAAAAATTACCTGAATATGAGGTAGCCAAGATTTTGGCTAAAATCTTACAAATTTGAAAGTGAAATGGCTTTTAATACATCATTATTAAAGTACTTAAGAGGTAATTTTTTTGCAACATATTATTGCTATTTTAATTCGGTGTGGTTTAGTGTTAAATTTTTTTGAATAACAGAGTACAGAGATTTGGTTTTAAAGCTTCTAATTTCAAATGTAAAATATCTGCTTGTTAAAGAATTGCTTCAAACTCTTTATTTTGTTGTACACTTCGAAATGTTTCTATCCTTCACGAAACGATATTTTGAAGAAAAGAAGAATAGCTGTTTTTTCTATGAAAAACAAGAACGAAAAAAATAAGTAGAAAAACGTTTTCACTTCGACTTATTTATCTATTCTTCAAATCATTACTCTCTTCTGCAGATATCTAGTTCATCATTCTTTCTTGAGGTTTTTTTGTCTGTAAAAAAGCAAAGCTAAAAAAATTTGTAAAATCCAGTTCGAATTTTACCCAACGTTTCTATATAGCTACACAAAGGGTATTGACGTGCAAAATTTGCGTAAAACTCAAAAAGTGAAAATGAATAAGCAAAAAAGTATCTCAATATTATCAATATTATGCAAATTTGCCTTAACAGTTGCTCAGTCTTTGCTCGACGATCCTGCTTTAAAAGTGGTAAATTTGAATATGGAAACTCTTAGTTAAACACTAAATGACATTTTTAATTTCCCATTATATTGCGATGTTCCTCTTAATTCATTTTTTCTGGCATTGAGCTCTTTTTGCCAAGAAGTTTTGCTGATCCTCAGGGAAAGAGGAGAACTTAAAGTCTTCTGCAGTCTGCAAGAATTCTGCTATACAATACTGTTAAATCCAATTATAATTTAAAAGAAAGAAACATCTTTGTTACTGTGCTAAATCTTTTCAGAAATAAAGTTTTTTAGTTTAACTCACGCGACAAAGTTATATTGAAAATAAATTTGCTTGATTTAAATTGTTTTCAAAAGGTTTTAAAAAAATGGTGAATGGGATAAACATCAGAGTGTAAGTTTAACGAAAAGTTTTTTAGATATGGATTCGGCTGAATTTAGAGAAAAGGGCAAAAATTTGGTGGATTACATTGCAGACTACGCAGAAAATCTCAATGAAAAGCGAGTTATACCAAATACTAAGCCAGACTACTTAAGAGCTCTGATTCCGGATTCTCCTCCACAAACTCCAGATACTTATGAAGAAGTGATTAGAGACGTTAGCAGTTACATAATGCCTGGAGTAAGCTTTACGTTCAAAGTAGTTTTCAAATTTGTTTTGGTAATTTTCTGTACTGATTCTAAACGCATTTTTATACAGATTAAAAAACTTGGAAAATTAACATGTCTGCGAAATTACCGAAGATCTGAGTTTAGGTTACGCACTGGCAACATCCCCAATTTCACGCCTACTTCCCAGCAGGTAATTCATTTCCAGCAATAATGGGGGAAATGTTGGCCAGCGCGATTTCTACCAATAGTTTTTCATGGGTAAGTTCTTCTTGACCTCATATAAATGTAAAGTGCATGAAACTATTTTTGTGCTACAATTTAACTTTCAAAATCATTTTGAATTTTGAAGTGTAAACGCAGAAAAGAATTTCACAGAAAAGAATTTCATTTGCCACTTTTTTGTTTTTCGATTCAAGGCATCTTGTCCGGCTTCAACAGAGCTGGAAACAATAGTGTTAGATTGGTTTGGTAAAATGATTGGGCTTCCAACCAAATTTATGCACCACGCTGAAGGAAGTAAGGGTGGCGGTGTTATACAAGTAAGTAACATTAAAATTTTGAAAGACTATTCCATTTTATTATTTCTACGTGTTGTAAACGACAGTCCATTCTTTTTCACCACTAATGAAAGGAAAAGAAATGTATTTATTTAAAAAGCAATTTTACAATCTGTTTTTAATAATCTCTTTCAAGAGACTGACTGAACAAGTGTTTTTGTCAAAAAGTTCTTTTATCTTTAGCCTAAAATAATGAAATTATGTAAAATATTTAAAAAAAACTTACTTGAAACGGTCAGATTTTTTGAATAATTATATTTTGGAACATAACAAAGGTTTTGCAAATGATAAACAAATTTTTTCATTTATCAAATACAACCTTTCTAGGTTTGCGTTTAAAAAGTTTTTAACGCAAAAGCTTTATAAGAAACCAATAAGATAAAGAGTTAGAACCTGTGTACACATTTCTGACAATCACAACTAAACTTAATATGCATCTGAAGTCCTAATGTTTCCAATAGCTCCAAAAATTTGGGAAGTTTCTTATCGTTTTCTAGCACAAGAATCAGAAAAGAGGAAAAAGTTGTTGAGATTCAGAAATGTTAGGAAAGCGACTAACCCTTGAACTACGAAGTGTCAACAACGTGCACTGAAGCAAGCAGTCGTTTTATTTGCTTTAAGAAGGGCTAGAGCACAAGCAGTCATTTGAAGCAAATATGTCTTTTTCATAGTTGTAATAAAACTTGATCTGTCGCTGAAAGACCGTTTTCAGCCGTCTGCAAGCGACTGCGTGTTTGTTGCATTACTGGCTGCTCGTCACGGAGCCATACAGAAGATGAGGCTAGAGGACGACTCTATAACTGACGATGCTACAGCTTTAAAAAAACTTGTGGCCTACTGTTCGCAAGAAGTCAGTTTTCCATGACCAAAAAAAAAAAAAAAGAAAACTTGTGGAATTTTTTTATTTTTATCAAACTGAACTAAGTTTTATTTTCTTTTTATTTTCTTAAATTTTTTTCAAAATAAAACTGAATACATCAGTTGTCCGTACTTGAAACAGGACAACAGCTAAAACCAGTCGCAAATTCTAACTGGCAAGCTTTCACCAAGTAATCAAAAATTAAGGCGCATTCTTCTGTGGAAAAGGCATCAAAGCTCGGTGTCGTAAAGTTGAGAGAACTGGATACCGACGAAGACTTTAGTATGCGCGGCAGTACATTGAGAGAAGCCATTGAGGTTTGCGATAGTTTTAGTATACGAGAGAGCTTTGTTTTATGACACTGACTTCATACAGAAAGGTAACTGTTGCAGAAAGATATAAATGATGGACTAGTGCCGTTTTTTGTGACTGCAACTTTGGGAACAACATCGAGTTGTGCTTTTGATAAACTTGCCGAAATTGGACCAGTATGCAATGAGTATAATATATGGTTACATGTTGATGCTGCTTATGCTGGAAATGCAATGATCTGTCCTGAGTTTAAATATCTTCTCGAGGGAATTAACTTTGCTTCTAGCTTTTCAACAAATCCCTACAAGCTGCTAAATACAACACTTGACTGTTCAACAATGTGGTGTGTTTATTTATTATCTATTGTACTGTTTTTTGGTTACTACATACCTAGTTTTGTATTTTAAAAGTTAAAGTGCAATGAAGAAGAAATATTTTGTAGGGTCGATGATCATAGCAAATTGACTAGAGCATTTGCGGTTGATCCACTGTATTTGACTCATAACTACGGAGACAAATTTAAAGGTATTTGCTAGCGAGTTAATGATAAGCAGTACATTGCTATGAAAAACAAAATAAACCAAAAAATTGAAACTTTCTGTCATTTTGTCTGAAAATTCCAGGAGGCAAAACTGACTACCGCCACTGGGGTATATCATTAAGCCGACGTTTCAGAGCTTTGAAACTGTGGTTCGTTATTCGTATGTATGGTGTTCGAGGACTACAACAGTTTATTAGACGGGTATTTCTTACTTTGGAAAGCTGAGAATAAAGAAAGTTAAAAAGAACTTTTTTAAAAAGATAGAATTTTCAGCAACAGAGCAGTTATTTGTTGGTACTTTGAAATTTAATCGTTTTAGCGAAAAAACAGTTCTATTGTAGGCAATGACACAAAAAATACTGTAGCAATAAGAAATTGCTGCATTGTTGGAATTCGGAATTAATGATTGCTAAGAAAGCTATTATAGGGTAATCTAAAGTTGTAGCAAACGAAATAGTTAAAGGTGAAGTCTAGCCAAGACTTAACATTTGAACCTTAAAATATTTTGTTACATTCAAATTTTAACATTTGATAAATTTTTTTAAAATGTTTTTAGACGAGAAAACAATTTTGTTAGCAAAATTTTTTCATTAACTAATATTTCTCACACTTATTAGACTTATTTTTTGTCAACTTTAAATAGAAAATACAGATTACTAAATTACTAAAAACTGGTATACTGGTTATTACTTTACTGTATATGGCTGATGTGATTGTTCAGTAAGCGATACTTTTTTCTCTGATCAGCAGCAAATCGTATGCAGATTTAAGTAGTCAATTTTTATTGCTGCAATTTTATCACTTTATCATATCAAGCGATAGTTTTTAAGCAGAATTTTTGGCAGTATTATATTTTTTTAACAGCTTATTCTTTTGGGTGGATATTCATTGTAGTTTTTTTCTGCTTTTTTTTCTAGTTTTTTCCTCTTTACTCTTATAAAATTTTCTGACCCATAATTTACGCAGTTATCATTTACAGCACGTATTACTGGCTAAAAAATTTGAAGAACTGTTAAGAGCAGACAGTTTGTTTGAAGTGATCAACGATGTTGTGCTTGGCCTTGTTGTATTTCGTGTTCGCGGAACAAATAGTATTAATCAACTATTTTTGAACAGGTTTTCCAATTTTTTCTTTATTCGAATCTTGCAATTCTAGTTTCTGAGGTTTTTATAATGAAAGAATAATTCAGGATGCCTAAAAGCAAAAATTTGACTAACATGCTGACTTATAAGAGACCTATGTTACATCCTCAGCGTCAAAATATTCAATAGGAAAAACTCACACTTTAAGATATAAGTTTAAGCAGGTCTTTTGACATTCACATAAATTTTCTTTATCACTTCAAATAGTTTCCATAAACAGTGCTCTATTGCAGACTTAACGAGTCAGGTTTAATTTTTATGGTTCCTGCTTTACTTGGTAATCGGTTTGCCATTCGGTTTTGTGTTTGTGCTGAAAATGCAAATTTTGAAACAATATTAGCCTCCTACAAAATTATTCATGAAGCTGCAGTAGCAACAATATGCAAGTTGTTTTCGTTTCTTCCAATTTTTTTATGCCGTTTTTTTCTTAAATAAGTTACCAACGGCGATAAAAAAAGAACTAATATAATACGTTCTTTACTGTTGCAGATTATGTAAAGTTTTTTGTAACATTATGAAGTTCTGGCACCAAATTTTTCTTCTTTTTTTTGCAGTACAGTATCGCATTCATCACAAAATGCATCACTCACTTCACATCACGGCTACTCATACAAATAATAACAAGAAGGCAAGTTTTATTTCTTTGATAAATGCAAATGTCAACAGGTTTCAGAACGCGTTCAAAAAAGTTGAAGTTCATAAAAAATTTTTTTTGAAATCTAATTTGCCGTCATTTTATTGTAACAGTTATTTTTTGCACTAATTAATAGTGAAAACCAAAGCAGTAGATGGTGATAAGTCAAATAACGTCGATATTTTTTGATCAAACAGACTGAAAGATACAAGCTGTGAACATGTTGCCTAAATGTTTTGCTATTTTTGATATAAATGCTTCGAATTGCGCTGTTATAACAGCTTATTATCAAGTAATTATTCCTGAAAAACTTTGTTACAGGAAAGACAATTATCACAGACTAACCAGATAGCTTTTCCCTAAGATGTGTAACGCTGTGTTGTTTTGGAAAGGAAATTTGCTTAATTTAGTGTAACTACTTCCAATATTTCCAACAAGGAAAGGACAACGTGAAATGATTACAGTAAAGATTAAATGCTACTGTTATATCAAAACTTCATGTATTAACTGTATTATAAGTTATTATTTGAAAATAAAAAGATCGTTTTTCAAATCAGAACTAAGTCTAAATTGTTTTCTTCTGTTGCTGTTCTTTTGATGCGTTTTTTGAGCTTGGTTCTCTCTTTATCCGGCAGCAAATTTTTTAGTTTTTTTCTATGAAATTAACATGTATAATCTTATTTGCATTAGTCTAGCAAAATATTGAATTGGTTGTTTTTAAAATGAAAACTTATAATCATTTTTGGCGTAACAAAGCATTTTTGATCAAAACCACTTGCCACATGCAGCTTTCTGCTGCTTTTGCAAAGGCCAAAAAGATAATAAAAGTCTTAACAAATAGTCGACTGTAAAATGTTGTTGCAGTAAAATATAGCGATAATTCTATAACTTCACAACAACCTGCAATTACTTCATTATAATTCGGCTTGCCAATTTCGAATCAAACAACAGTGAAAACGACTTTAAAAAAATTTTGCTAAAGCAAATTAAGGTCATGCGTGTTATGAGAGACAGGTTAAAGTTCTAGACATTAGAAATTTGAAAGTTTAGACTCTCTATAATTTTACGCACTTCTGAACATCAGTAGCGTCTCGACCAACTTAAAATTAATGTCAGACTTACTGTTACCAATTTCCAATTTTATACAGCACAGGAAATACCAGCAAGTAAAGATGATTAGAAATTGAAAATTTAAAGTGATGAATACTGCCAACGACATTTATAACTTGCGGTTGTAACTCAAAACAGATAAACACTTAAGAAGGTCACATCTGTTCTTGATAGTTACCATCTGATGACTAGGCGTCTAATATGTATCACAGAACAGATTGACCGCTGCCTAAACAAGGAAGATAAAGAAAAATCATAAGTATTGAAGTTTACAGTTAAGAAATTTCAAATCAAGAAAAATTACTTGATTTTGAATAAATAAAATTAAAGTTTTTCAACTTTTCTTGTCCCCAGTTTTTTCATTATTTCTTCTGAACAATTTTTTTCATGAAACTTTGTACTTTCTTTTCAAAGATTTTATTTTAAACAGTTACTTGTTTCTGAAAACCATATTCAGGGCAATCAGCATTCTTATTCAGTTCACTTTTTTGTTGACACGGTTCAGATTCTAAAGCGTTTAAGCTGTTTCTGCTGTAGTGAGTTGAGTCAAAAAATCATATTTCAGTTGCACGGCATAATTCTTAACTTTTTAGCAAAGGTACATTATACTGTGTTTTCGCAAGACAATAAAGAAAAAAACTAAAGAACCATTTGCTAATGATCAGTATTAATTATTTTTTGCTTAATTCATATTATAACAGCAAAATAAGTAAATTCCTGCTTCTGCCATTTCAACAAAAAAATGCGAAGAAAATGCCAAAGAAGGTATCTTGACACTACTTTTTTTTTTTTATTAACAATTAGTCCGAAAAAAGTACTTCACAATAGTTCAAAGACTTCAGTCATCTGCTGTTTACTGTCATTATTGAAAAGTGCTTACCATTTACTATATTCTGTTGTTAAATTAAAGTTAGTCCGGCAGTAAACTTTCCAGAAAAAATTGTAATAGTGAAATTATTCAAGCTATAGTTTAAAAACCTTAAAAAAAGCATTTTTTTTTTCTGAGAATAGTCCATCATAAGATAGAACTTTGTGATATGCTGCCATTAGATAACGCTTTTTATTGCTAGAAGAAAAATGTTGGCCGAAATTCTGCAGTCAAACACAACAATAAAAACTGTTTTTTTATTTTTGATTACTGATCACTGATCCTTATTGGTTTTAACAAGTCAATTTTTATCTACAAAAGACAGAGTCTTACAAAATTTGCAGCATTTAGAGTAAAAATTTTGTTTGCACTTTAATAAGTGCAGTGTCAAACAGCAAAAGAATCCCAACAAATAATTTTTTATCACAAAAAAAAAAAAAAAAAAACACTGTTCATTCCCGTTGAACCTGGGAGCGTTACAGCAAAAGAAAAATCATAACTATCAGTTTAGAAATACATCTAACGTTGGCGAACAGTTAAAAAGCAGCGTAATGTCGTCTTTATGTGGGGATGAGTGTAGCAGTGTGAAGTTGGAAAACTTAAGAAAATTTTCAAGAAGGATGTCAAAAATTTATAACCGCTGTAAGATAATACTTATTAAAACGACAGGAAAAAAACCACAGCAGTAATTAGCAAGAAAAAAACATTTTTTGAAGGCAATATATCCGTTTTCCGCATGTAAAACGAACATATTCAAACTTATCCTCACTAACATATCACGAAAATTTTTTTCTGTGCAGTTCCGTAAAGGGTAAAGGTCAACTGGCATAATAAATAGAACAACGATTTTTTCTGAACGAAATTATTTGCGCAATTAATTTAATTTTAGATTCTAAAGCGAACACTTGGCCTACTGTAAAATAAAAAAGCTGAAATAATTTCCTGGTAGCTAAATGATGCAGGTCACTTGTATAACGCAGTGCTTTGGTGCATTTTCTAGTTTAACAACATTTTTAAGTCTTGATCGTCATGAATTTTGCTTCTTGCTTGGTTTTTGCTTAATGGGAGCATTTTCATTTTACTTATCGTTGATTTTGAGAGTTTTGAAGACTGGCTGTGATAGGGTTGAATAGGGAGCTCTATAACTTTGGCCTTCTCGAATAAAAATTCACTTGTCAATTCAGCTTTTAAATTACTTATTTATACTTTTTGAAGAGGAAGACTGAGTTTCACTTGATTGTTTTATCAGTGACTATTAAAAACTGTATGTCCCTGTTATATGTTTGCTGATACAAAAGGTAAAAAGTTTTTGTTTATTTTCTAGTTGGCGTGAAACGTGGCGCTTGTTGATTTGATCAATGTGACGGCAAGATGTGGTTCTGGTGAATCATAGAAGTAGGTTATGTGCATTTGTTCTGCACCTTTCAAAAAATCTGCGGTATTATAACTAGTTTGCCTTAGCTGAAATGGAAGGCTGTGTAAAGCTGAAGGCTAGAACGATTTCACATCTGAATAAGTACATATAAAGATAACTGTATATATGGGATTGTAAATTATCAGGAGTTTTGGAAAAAAATGGTAGGAATCTGGTGATGAAAAAAAGCAGTTCACTGTGTCGCTTGTGACGACAAAAAAGTGGAGCGATTTATTCAATACAGGACTACATAATTGAAGTTTCTACTTGGTCTTTTGATTCTTGCATATAACTTTAGTCAGCCAGTATTTTCTGTTCTTCCCATTGAGCAAACTTTTCTGGAAGTTTAACTTATCTGTCTACTTTGAAAACATTTGTTTTTTTATCTTAAATTTTAGTTTTACACAGTTGACCAGATCAAGTTAGGTTTGAAAAGTTTTCAACAAACTATTATGGTTAGTGTAAATGTAAATACCTGATGGTCAGAACTGTATTATGAAGTGAGAGGAAAGTGATGTACAAAAAAACAAAGAAGTAAAGAGTCGAAACCAGAAATTAAGGGTCTAATAATGTGGAGGAAATTCAAGTAAATGCCAGTCGTTATAGATCTTTTAGATAGCAAAAGATTTGAGGACCCATATAAAGGATGAGAATCTATCCGTTTGCTTTTTGGGACCTCTTGGATGTTTACTGGTAGAAGAGCAGGTTGGTAAGAACCACATGTTAGGTTTCAAGATCTGGTAAGAAAGGTTTTTGCCCAGACATTATGAAGTAAGGAGTAGTTTTGTAACAGTAAGAATATATTAAATTGATTTTACTTTTAGCCAAATTTCTGCGTCACTGTTTTGGAGTTAGAGTATCAATAACTACAGTTTTTCAAAGTGAATTGGTAAATATTCGTTTGAAAGGTTATATTCATAAATTTGTATTCTAGTGTTTGGGAGAAGGAAAACTTGCAAAGCATTTAAAAGCTGTTGACGAGAAGGAACAAGTGGAAGCTTTTAATCTTCAAATCGCAAAGTTTTTATACTGGTTTTGTCGTTTCAGTTTACTTATGCTTGTCTGAGTTTTTCAAAGTCTGAACAGTTGTACTTTTATTTAACGCAAATGATGCGGCTTGCGTGGAATTTGACTGGAAAAAATTTTGATAGAATGTCAACGGTTTCAAATGTAACGTAGTGTATGTCATCATAGACTGTTTTCAAATAAGACTTTCTAAGACACTGTCCCATTTTACTTCGGATACTTTTATTCCAGCATGTGTAAATAAATATTTTGAACGCAGAAATTGACGACAACAGTAGGACAAGCATAACATGATATAAACGTTAAACATTCTAGTTAAAATGCATTTATTGCTTTTTTAGGGTATCACGAGAACGTTTATAAGTGACTGTAGGCGAATTCACGG